GATGAGTTTATGGAATGCTAGCTGGGCATCAGTGGTATCGCTGACAGATATGAGACCTCCATTAATGTGGGACATGTGCCACTAATAAGACAAATTTAACATAGTTTTTCCTAAGTGCAAAGTTTGGAAGAAAATATAGAGAATTACATCCAGGTGGACAGAGGCTGTTGACCTTAGCTCTGATGGAGCAGATCCCTCTGAAGCTGGTCTCGACGTTGTGATTCCGCAGCCCTGGGCGGTGGCGGGCAGCTCCTTTGCCTCCATCCACCTCTCCCTACTCCCAGCATGGGCAGCAATTCTCATAATGCAACTCCAGCTCCTGGCTTCAAAACTTCCAGATATCACAGCGCCCATTCTTCTCCAGACTGCACACTCATAGATCAGTGCTCCATAAAATAGTTAGGCACGTGTTGGGTTTTTTTTCCTGAAGCAGGCTGTACGCTAAATAAAAACTATATAGTTTGACTTCAAAGTGAAGTAACTCTACGAAAGGCTGTGGAGCTCCCTTGGCACATACTAGTGCCACGTTTGCTCCCTTATGCCCTTCCGTAGGAAGTGATGCTGCTGACCTCAGTCCTTGTGTCAAAGCCCTGCTTTTCACTTTCTTTTATATATATACATATCATTTAGATAGATAGATATAGATAGATAGATAGATAGATAGATAGATAGATAGATAGATAGATAGATAGATATCCCTTTCATTCCTGTAAAATAAAACCGGAGTGCACACTTGCATTAGTTATACTGCTTTAGCGTAAATATTAAAAGAACCCAAGAGACATGGCAGGGTTCCCAACGTGGCTGCAGGCCACAGCTCTGTTGCAAACTACCTTTTAATGAATCAAGTTTCCAAGTGACAACTGGGATGACCTCACTTCAGTGGCTGCTGTGCTTGAAGACGGCAAACAGTGCCGTCTGTGCAGAGCGGCAGTGGAATGAAGAAACCTCGTTCTTGCTTGCTGAGTGATTTCCAGCTACAGTGACAAAAAGGCAATTTTTCATTCTGAAATAGAGGAGGACTTAAAATTATAAGCATCTGTGGTTTACAAAAAAAGGCAATGCAACTTACGAGGTTGGATTTCCGCAGGGCCAAAGGTGAAGAAAAGTCAACCCTAGTGAGTCCCTTCGGTATTTTCTCTGGAGATTTATGTAACAGGCTGGGCAAGACCTCAAAGTTTCCAGATGAGAGTGGGAGTGCTCCTGCTCCACACGTTGATGCAGAGCTGCCAGATTTGTATTGGTCTAATACGACTCTTGGATTTCTTGGTTGTCCCCTTTTTCTCTCCTCATCGCTATGTGTTAGATTTGCTGTTTACTGGCTCTTTTGAGAAGGGAGATGGACTGAAAGAATAGTTCTAGTAATTCTGTACTCTGTTACTATCACCTAATCATCTTGTGGCTTCTACATTCATACTGTTTTGCCCATTATGTACAAAAAACAAAGGATACAGATGGAAAGATGTGACATACATTATAATTTCCCAAGCTGGCTAAACGGACGCATGAATGTATGTTCCTTCCTGTAGCTTTGACTTCATCAGACTAGTCCTGAAAACTCAAGAGTCTGCATTTGCACACCCCATTTCCACAATGTTATGACCTGGGGCAAGCAAATGGGTTCTCCATCTCTGAAACCCATGCGTCGCATCTCATCCTGCTTCATCCTTGCCTGGAACTTCAGAATAATATTTTGGATGATGGAGGGGCTCTTCCTTTCGTGAGAGCCTGCCCACAGCTGGATTCGTGGTGGCTGCTCCTTGTGCAGCGTTGAACTGGTGCCGATTCTCACGGCCTATCGCAATTTGGCAATCTGATTTACAGCACAAACTTTACTAGCGGCATTTTAATTTTTTTGTTTTGTTTTGTTCTGTGTATTCTCTGTATTTCTCAGAGAAAAGACATTATGAATAGAACTGGCTGGAATATGTAATTTCCTTTTCACAGGAAATCCTGTTGTTCTGGGAAAATCTTTTCTTACAGTTTGAAAGTAGGACTAGTCTTAAAAAAAAATCCTCTGCAAGAGAGACCATCCGTATTTTCACTAAGGAAAACTGAACACAAGATCTAATTTTTCCAGGATGTAGGTAATGTAGACCTTGGAGCATAGTCCTGGTATGTGCTTCCAGGCTTTATTCTCTCTCCCAGATCCCAGGCTATGACAAAGGATGTTTTTCTGGTATTCAGCTTCCCTTCATATTTCTTTGTTAAATACCATATTTTGTCAGCACGATTGCTTCTCATAACAAACTCAGCTGCATTTATGTACAGTTAAGACAGTTCTTACTTGATTATACTGCTGCTTACGGAGGGGTGCAGCTGAAAATTAGGAGTATTGCATCAGAATCTTTTGGGGATTATTAAATATTAGCAAAACAAAGCCTTGTGCTGGAGCTCAGGCACCACAGCTACCTGTCCAAGGACTCGGAGGTTCTCCAGAGTGGAAGGTCATACAGGGAACAGAAACAAACAGGCATTTGTTTTTACTTCAAATGCTTATGCCCACCTTATCCAAGGTATCTCGTTTAAAAGGGAGATGAACATGCACAGAGTCTTTCCATCCTTTAAGTAAGGGAGGACACAGAACTGTTACCATAAAGTCAGTTTTAATAAAGCAGTTACAAATATGAGCAGGACTTGAAAACAGAGACTTCACAATTTCAGTCATATCACATATGTCTGTATATTTACTGTCTATGTTACATGTGCTATACAGACAGTTTGGCAAAAGGGGTCTAAATGTGTGCAGCTGTTACTGTTCCAGTATTACGGAGCAACACTTTGGGTTTGAAGTGAAGAGAGCAAAGCATTAAGTACAGAGCAATGCAGAGTTATGTGAAAGCCCGAGAGATAGGAATTACCTTTCATTTTGTTGGTTTAGATGATAACTTTCTAGGCTTATTTTTATGACACAAGAAACATTTCTGTGCTGGGAAAATAGCACAGGACTCTGTTGCTCTTTGATTTGAAGATTCAACTTAACTTAAAAAGCTTCCTGAACCAGCTCTGTGGAAGGAAGAGAAAGTGTTATTTTCTTAAATACCTATTGTGCAGCTTTATTTACAGAAGCTCTTTGTTTGCAGCTGTCCTTAAGCTTAAAATATTTGGAACTTAAAACATGGTGCCTGTTTGAAGAGATATAATTTAAAATGCTGCAGCCTACCTCTTCCAGTTTGACTGCTCCGTGGCCTGATGAATGAGGATGGTTTAAGCAATGACACAAAGAAGGTATTTTGAGGAGCTGCAGCAATAGGTATAATCAAAAGCCAGGTGCACTATTTCTGAGCAGTTCCCCAGGGAGTGACATAAGTTTGGGGGAAAAAAAAAACCCACACCACTCCAAAAATCCTCGAGTAATGAAAACATCCAAAGCTACTAGCTAGTAGAAATCCTTTTGCTATGTACAGTAGTCGAGGTGATGAGACAGGGGAGACTGGGATCAGCACCGGGCTGTGGTGCATGAGGATGTGGGAGCTCTCACTGGGATCTGTGGAGGCAGCTGGGAGAATCAGGTCCGTTGTGCTCCTCAAGCTGTCAGGGGTGACACCGGCTTCTTTTCTCCCCCAGCTCGACGAAGGCTTCACGCTGAGATAGATTTAGGCAAATGTAATCAAATGCAAATCCTGTACTTGTACGTCTGACATCGAGCTGCTTAAAATAAATCACAAGCTTCAAGAAACCAAACAGCATCTGGCAGCTCAGAGTTATCTTTTAACTTGAACAAAATGAGAGAAGTCCTTGGTTCAGGATGGCTCGTAGAGTGCTTCTGGAGGATGAAATGGCTTTTCATTTCATGGCAGATTTTGTCCTCGCTGCACTGGCATGCAGGGTGTGGGCAGCTGTGAGGAGCAGTGGAGACTACAGCCCTGCACAGAATCCCTGGAAACAGGCAAATCAGCCCCGTCCTTTAGGAAACTGTCATATCCAATTCACTTTATTACAGACCAGCAGTAAAAATCTGCATCTGACCACCAGAAGTTCTTACTGAACGTATATTGAACGTATGTTCAGTGCATGTTGAATATAACACCATTGTTACTGCATTCCTTGCTCCCAAAAAAAAAGGCTTCAAGAAATGTTTTAAAGCTAAAATTTGGGTTCAGTTTGGTTTAAGAACCGGGAAGATCTATAGTTTTCAGATCTAGAAGGGTAGTCTCCTAAGGCAGGAGCAAATGGTGTGTCCTTGTATGGTTGAGATATTCACTCAATATTTAGGTTACCCATCATTTTGTAGAGCTGCTGCCTTTCAAGCTTGCATATCATCTGAATGGCTCCGTTTTGGGTGCTGCTGTGTCCTTGCTGGGCTGGCACCAACCCGTTGTGGTCCCTATGATTTTTTTTGTGTCTCTGTGACCACATGGTGCTACAGAAGGATTACTGATAATACCGGGTCTCCGTGCATTTTACAGGTTGTTTTGCCTTATGTAACAAAGCCATAAGCTTCCTGCTTGAAAAGGCCTGTGGTATAATTCTGCTGAAAATTGGATGTAGTATTGCCATGCGAGCAGGATGCACAAGGATTTGCTGCACCTCGGGTATCACCATGTCAGCTTTCTCACCTGTAGGAGCACACACAGAAATTTGAGGCTATTTTAGAATTATTTTTTTTTTTAATGAAGTTATGAAATTTTTTTTTTTTTTTTTTTAAACTGATTTAGGTACACTTGGAGACTATCACAGGGATGTCACTGTCTGTGTTGTTGAGCCATCTTCACACTGGAAAGCAGGCTTTGCAGGATGGTTTTATTTCCAAGTGTGTGTTCACTTTTGTAACACAAAGAAGTCTCAAGGGACATAAATACGTACATATGGAGAAGACCATAGCCATGATATTCTGCTCTGGGAACCATACTGCAATGTAAAATCTCCTTTGGAAAATGCTGAGGTAGCCTGATAGCTGAGATCTGTGCCATCAGCTCAGAAAGCCTCGTATTTCCCAGTATGACCTGCAAATGTGAATCCTCACTCTGCTCACTAGTCTCTCCTTTGATTTTCACCAGGAGCTCTGACTCTGAAGAAGCATTTGAGACCCCAGAGTCCACCACACCGGTAAAGGCACCACCTTCACCTCCACAGCCACCCCCCGAAGCGGCGGCGGCAGCAGCAGTTGTAGCAGACGTAGCAGAACAAGAAATAAAACCCCAGCTGCCCTTGGAAGACACAGGTAAGGAGCATGTAATGTGTGGGACAGGTTACTGAGGAAGGTGAAGCTGCAGGGAGGTGTTTGTGTAAGCACAGGCAAGGAGTTGACGCTAATAAAATGTCTTCTGGAAGATTAGTTAATGTATGCTGGGCGTTATCCATGCTGGGAGGAAAAGCCCTGTCACCTTCTGGAATAAAGTATTGGAGAGTCTGTAACATTTGACAAGTATTGAAGAAAAGAGGAGCTTTCTGGATAAACCTTTTTTTTGAATCGAACTTGAATTTGTAGGATCTTTACAGAGTCGGAGGAGTAGAAAAAGGAGGTATGAGATACAAATGCAGGTACCTGGGTGAGCACTGTTAACTGTGACAGTTAACAAAATGTTATTTTTAAATGGATTGTCGCCTGAAACAGAAGGTGAACAAAAAGCCCATTAGAACAATAGAAATACTGATACTAACTTTATAGGAGGAAGATGGGAGTATGTGGGAATGTATGTGTAAGATACATATATAAAAATGAGTACATACTGGGAATATAACCTTTACAAAGGGAGCATCGTGTTTAAAAAACCAAATAAATCCTTTCCCCCAAAAAATGTGTTCTTTGTTCTCCAAATTGAGTAATGGAATACGGGGGAGTAGAAAGCACTGTGTTAGCCCAAAATAGCTTTGTTTGGGCTGTTAGATGACAGCTCAACAGTTTAAGATTGAATTGCCCATTATGCTGCCTCTTTTCCCATCTGAAAGTCAAGTCATCTTGATCACCTGGCTAAATTGTGTAAAGGTAATTTTACTCTCAGCAGACTAAAGCTCACTTGTATTTCATTTGGAAAGATGTATAGCATTGCCAGGCAGTGTTTTAAAGCTTCCGTTTCCACTCTAGAATTGACTGGGTTTAGCAGTGGGCAAAGAAATGTCCAAGGCTGGTATGTGTACTATAAAGGCTGTCCAGCTTTGATTTAAACCTTTAGGAAAGTCTTGCAAATGTCTCAAGCCACCTAAAGTATTTCTGGGAGTTATAGGTTAAGGAATGCTCTTTAAGGTCATGATTTATGATACAAGTGTAGAAGAAGCTAGAAAGATGTCCCGACAAACTGATTCCACAAGATAAAAATGAAGCGCTGAGACACTTTTTCCTCTCTGCTGTTACAGTTCCCTCTTCATTGTAGCAAACAACATTACGCTTTCTCCATCTTCTTTCCCCTTTCTAACCTTTTGCAATCTAATGATTACAAAATAAGTGCTGAGAGAACAAAAGAACTCATAAGCTAAACAGGATTGCAGTGTGTTTTTAATTACTGCAGTAGATTATCTTCAAACCCTTGATTACACATGTGCTTCCCTGGCACATGTGATTCTTTTCTCCGTACGTCCCAGATCTGCCCCTCCTTTCTTTCAGATATTTCTGAAGAAAGGTGGAAAACTGAATGTATCTAATCACAACCGATGTGAATTATCCTGAAGGCCAAGGCAGAGATGAAAACATTTCATTTGTAAATAAGATTTGTCCATGGGAGGCAAGTTACCACAAACTAACAGAGTTCAGCGTTCCAAAATCATGCGAAATGAAGTTGTACAACAGGGTAATTTATGTGAGGGAAGGAAGATGTGTAATGCAGAAAGTATTCAAATGTAGGAGGGCAACACAAAGAGTTCATTTGTTTTGGAAATCTTTAGAAGGAATAATCCTACCACCATAGCTTAGATGTTTGCAGGCTTCTTCAGAAATGCGAACAGTTAAACGTTTTGTACTTTATAAACCATTTGAGTAACAGTTATCTTGTAGTTTACTGAACTCATAGGTTACACATGTGGCTGCACACAAAGCGAATGAGCCCCTTCCTTGGGGGTTATGGGCAGTTGAAGCAGAGTTCCTCGTTGGTACCATACGGCTAAATAAATCGGTTTCAGTAAAAGAGGAGTGAGGAATACGGGCAAACAGAGAGCCTGACGCACACACGGGGAGAGGCAGCGATGTCCAGCTGGGTGTCCGGTTCACCAGCTGCATGGCTTTGTCTCCTACATGAGGTCGGTGTGTGTTTGAATGGAAGGATGAAGCCTAGTAAGTGTTTAAAGGATTGTTTCCTCTATATCTGACAATAATTACTCATGCAGACGGCTGCAGTTGTGCTGCATGGTATCATTAGCACAACAGCTGGACCCCACTGCTGGAAAGCCAAGAGGAGAGTGTTTAATTAGGTTGACTTCAGTGCTAGCTTACGATGAAAGTGAAATACAGCTAGATTCATCCTGGGTTTGTGCCAGCTCCTGGTGGGGTAAAACCTGCTGCATGGCTCCAGTCCATCAGCAGTAGAGCAGGAAAGGGGGGTCAGTCTGCGGGCAAGTCCGGAGGGGAAGAGGAGTAACAGAGCACGTATGGAAACTCCCTCTGAACCCCAGAACGTGTCACTAATGAGCCCTCCCATTCCTCTGTAAATACTTCAGTTGTTGTGGGGAATGTGGGTTACACTCGTGAGGCAAATGACTCTAAGGGTGCTCTTATTTTTTTATTATTCTGGTAGTATTTTACATTATTGTTGATGAGATAGGACTCATCGGCTTCTCATAGCAGTGTCCTCTTGTCCCTTGTTCCAGCCAGCTGAGCACCAGAAGGTGCCCCGAGATCTTTCTCCCAAATACCCTTCTGTTTCTGGCCAGGAATTCCTGCCTAGGCAGGGGTGTTTCTTCTGCCCCCCTGGCACCTTCCCCAATTAAGTAATGAATTCAGAGTATACACAGAAGGAGATGCGAGAGCTGGAGTCCCCTCTGTGCATTACAGCCTGCTGGTCAGGATGTGGGAGACCTCTATTCGGGGGCCTTCTTGTGCCAGGGAAATTGAGGTCAGGCTTTCCAGTAGAGCGATGATGACCCTGACAAAAACAAACTAAATTTTTTGGATGGAACATATTCTTCTTCAGTCTTTTTCCTCTTGAAACCCAACACAGAAAAATTGAAAATAAACTTTATATCCGAAGTTTTCTCTCAGGATAAATGGCAAAAGTATTTTTACACTCATTTTTAAAATAGCGTTACTAATTGATTTTGTAACTTCAAAAGCTTCTCATAACAAGCAGGAACTTGAAGTAAACTGTGTTTCAAAATTTCTAGTGTTGGGTAATTCGATTCCTTTATGCTATGGGCAAAGTGTTGTTTTTTGGATTACTTCATTATAATGGAGTATGTGAGTGCATGCTGTATGCATTTTCCAAGGGCTTCTCTTTGTTTTTCTCTAGAAAAAGAATTAGAATTTCATTTCTTCTGTATTTGATTTATTAGATTGGGTTAAATTTTGTTTCTAAGCCTTTTAAAATAGGGTTTAATTTTGTTACCAGCTCAGCAGTGTTAAGGCCTTCTATTTTCAGCCTGTTGGATTTCCCTCTATTTTAGAGGCACTTCAACAAAGAGGAAGATGCTCAGCTGTCCTAGTGCAGCTCCACTGCTAGAAGAATTTGTTGTGATTTAAAGGGAAAAAATATTTAAAAATAGCTGGAAGTACTTTATATGTTCTAACCCCTTAATATATTTTCATTATTGGTAAAGAAATAATTCAGATTTAGATTCAGTAAGTTCATAGCTGGTGCAGATATTTAATTTTCTTCTTCAGAATATCTTTAAAACGAATCTGAAGTTGCCTCCAGAGTTTTTGGAAACGTTTCTTTTTGTGGACATGTCCTGGGAGAGCACAGCCCTGTGCTGTGGTAGGGGATGCCCCGGGGTGCCGCATCCTGTCCCGCTGGTACCGCAGTGCTGGGAGCGGGGAAGGCACGGGGAGCTCCGCAGGTGATAGTGCATCAAAATCAAACACATCTACCCTTGCCTTGGCTGCTTCTGTAGCTCCTTGTGCAACTACTGCCACCAAGTTTCTTCATTTCTTTCCTAAGGCTGTAAAAAGATGTGAAACCTAACACCCATCCTGATCTAAACCTACGAATGTCTCCTATCTTTAGATATTCAGTATAAATCAATGGTAGCAGTTTAATTAAAATTTGATATTTTCATCAGTGGACAGTTTGGAGCACATGCATGGGATTTGTTACTGCTCAGATCATTTATGGATCTTTATTTAAAGAAGGTGGAGTTAAGCGAGATACGTGTCTGCCTGCCTGGTCTTGTGGGGTGTTGAAGCTTTATGAGCACCTGAAGCGCCATCAAAATCTTGGTATTTTGTAACGTACAAAAAAAAGATTCCTGTAGTTGACCAGAAAGGGGTTTTTTTATTCTTTTGCTTCCTTTTTGTTGATACTAACAACAGAAATTTGTTCATTAATGCAAACAGCCTTCCAATACCTGTCTAGCAACTTTTGTTTTTGCTGTAATAGATGACAGGTGAAAACACCAAGCATTACACATGTGATGGAGCTCTCATTTAGAGGTCTCATCATCTGGATACAAAAAATCTGGGGGTTTCTGTTGTTGGTTTTTAGTCTGCATTTGCTTATGGGTTTTTGTATCTGATCCAGGTAAAAATTCTCTGAAAGCAGAGAAATTCCCTTGTGGGACGAGCAGAACTTGGACCACCTTTTTTTAATGAATGAAGTGGGAGATTTCTTTTGGGGATTACCTGTTTTTTATGGCAACCTAAGTTTCCCTGCTATTGTTCATGTTCTTGGAATGCTGTATAAAACTTAATATCTACCTGTGGGCAGCTCTTACCTGTAGAATTCTGTGGGTGACTGTCAGAGCCAATAAAAGGCATAAACCTTATTTAAAATCTGGCCTCTCTCTAGGGCAAGTCCTGACTTAATTTTCATAGCTCGCGTTTTAGTACGTTCCTTTGCGATCAGATTGCATTTTAATAAAATAATGTAATTAGTAATATTGATTTGCTTAATGCTGTGGTGTAAAAGAACAAATAGCACTGCTCTCTGAATATGCTGTTCATGTCAGGGGATCACGGGTTTGTATCTCTTTTTCTCTACCGTTCATACCTTCTTCTCCAGCATTTCTGCTTTTATTAGTACTAATTCTGTTGTAATGCCAGAAGGGGCTAACAGCAGCATTTCAGATTTATCAAAAGCCATGTTTTCTGAGACAGTTTCACCTATTGTTTCATAAAGAAACAATAAAAATATCATAGCAGCGAGTCGAGCGACGCTCTGCAGAAATCCATACTCTTCAGTCAAGGATTTGATTAGGAGGAAGTTGTGAAATAAGCAATTAAAGAAGATTAAAGCTCTGCACTATGTGGAGCACAGCAGATTTCAATGCTGTTTTGCTCTGAATAGCTGGAAAGCCTTGTAGGGTCTCTTTGCTGCTGTGATGCATCCCTAACCTCAGCCCTACCACGCCTGTCATTTACAGTCCAAACCCCGCAGGCCATCGGGTTTCTTTTTATTTTCTTTTATTTTGTTTAAATGCATGTTTGTACCGACTTTGAACGAGGGGCCTCAATCCTGTTGAGGCCTTTGGCGCATGCTGGAATGAAAACACATAATTGCAGAAGATTTTCCCCCTTTCATTTCATGCTGACCTACATTTGTACTCTGCTGACATGCTAGAGCTACGTGAGCGGTTATTGTAATGCGTTCCCGTTAAGCGTCTTCCGTTCCCGTTTCAGTGTAAAACGCACAGGTCGGTGTAATGCTGGAGTTTGATGGCACTCTCTGAGGCCCCTTAGCGCCAGTCCCAGCAGTGTCAGAAAGTGATGTGTGTGTGTGTGTGTGTGTGTGAAGCGAGCACCAGCTCAGCTGGCAAATCAAGTCTAATTAATGACCGCTCGGCCAGGCTGAAACCAAGCCCGACCCAGTGGAGAGTAAGGAGAAAAATAAACTGTCCTCAAGTCCTGCCATATTGTTAGCATTCATTTAGCAGGAAAAACACATTAAGCTAGTATTTTAATTGATGTAACTTCGTAAACTTCCACGGTCTTGAAAGAGAAACTGTGTAGCTGTCATTCCTTTGACAATCTCTGGAAATGCCTGCTGTCACTCTAAGGTACTGCTTTGGGAAAAGGGTCTGATTTCCTGCTATCTTTTCTTTCCTCGACATCCGTAAATAATAATTCTTGTAATCTTCATGCAGAAATACAGTTTCCTCTGAAACAAAGAAAAACTGTTGTGTTTTTTTTCCCGTTCGTAGCCCATTTGTAGCTTCTAACCAAAAATAACTATTGATTCTCTATCTGTATTGCTTTTTATGAACATTACTGAATGTCGTTGGGCAAAGTGGGAGTTACTTTGCAAAACACGTCAAGATTAGCATGAAAAAGAGGTGTAGAAATTTCTCTGAAGTCATTTAAGGCTGAGAAAAGCATTCATTTCTGTCTGACTATATTATAATTGCATAATTTAAAAAAAACCTGGCAACGTGAAGAACGCTGCGTTGCTTCAGTAGGGAACGTTGGTGCGTTTTGCTCCAGTACATGTTGGTGAGAGCTCGGAGGAGCTGGTTTACCACAGTTTGAACTGTGAGCTGGAGAGAGATTTCTCGGGTCTCTGGTACCCTGACTGGGACACACACACAATAGATGGAGGTGTCTGTGCTACACCGAGGTAGGGAGCAGTACAGTGACAGCAGGAACAAACCATATTTTTGCAAAACATTTTAGTAACGGACTTTCATGAGCTGGAAGGCATAAAGGACCATTGCCTTAATGCTTAATCTCAATCCTACCTATGTATTTTCTCTGTTTTTGATATACGCTGTATATTTTTATACTTTGTACAGTATAGTTGTTGTATCTCAAGAGGCTTCTAGAAGTTTTTTTTAGGATTCCATTCAATAAGCAAATCTTTAATTGCAAAGAAAAGCTTCTCGGTTTAACAGTTTTAGCATATAATTCTCTATGAAATTTTCTTTTCGTTGCTGAGTTAGAACTACACTTTGACAAATCTGTTTTAAATTATTTGTAGGGAGCTTCTAGCAGTCTTTTTAAGGAAGATTTTCAATGGAGAATATTTGTACAGTACTCTAATTGCCTAATTTTCTTACCTCTACCATAATATATTTCATATCAAGTACTCAGTGATTCATGTCTCATTTTAAACTTGGAATTATGAGGTCAAAGTGGAGTGTATCGACTGCTTGGGGCAGAGAGAGGAGTAGCGTTGATGGGTTGTGGAGAGGAAGCCATGTTCCTCTGGGAAATTGGTAAAAATAGCACATGTGAAACAGAACTTAAGATCAACATGTAATTGGTGAAGCACCAGTCAATTTACAGAGAATTTTCTGCATAAGAGCTCTGACATAATGCTGTGAAGTCATTTTAGAATAGTAGAAAATGTGAGTAATAACGTGCTTGATGTTCAGATTTTCTGGTATTGGGCTTATTTAGCATGTTATAGTAATAGCCATCTCTTTAACTAAGTGATAATTACTTTAGAAGAGATGCTCTAGAGGCTATTGCAAATGCATATTTTGTGTTTTCGTGAAACTTGCCTTGAATCCTTTTCTGGGGAGAGCAGAACAGAACTATTTTTTTTTTCCCCTAATCTAGTTCATATATTGGAAATGCCACTTCGGTTTGTATGTCCTTTAATCATTGATTAGTCCATTTGTATGATTTTATTTTTTTTACTTGTAGTAATATTAGATTACAGTAAAAACCAGTTAAGATCCAGTTTTAAAAATATGTTTAAAATTCACTGAGTTTTTCTGTTCTTTTCCACAGGATTATGTTCAGAAACTGTACCCGTAACTGATGTGTCACACAGCGAATCAGCTGAAGAAAGCCCTTTCCGTCCCCCTTCCCATTCTTTTTCCACCGTCTTCGATGAGGACAAGCCAATAGCCAGCAGTGGAACTTACAACTTGGACTTCGATAACATTGAGTTAGTTGATTCTCTCCATGCCTTAGGACCGAGCTCTCCAGAATCGAAGAATCGTGACCCCAAAGCGAATGTTCGAAGAAAATCTACTGATTCAGTCCCAGTTTCCAAATCTACATTGTCTCGTTCTCTTAGCTTGCAAGCTAGTGATTTTGATGGAGCATCTTATCTTGGCAACAGCGAGACATTAGCACCGGCAGCAGATGTGTATGGTACTGGTTCAAGTAGTGCTTCTAGTACCCTTAAGAGAACAAAGAAGTCCAGACCAGCTTCCTTAAAAAAGAAGCAGTCAGCAAAAAAATCTCTGGATGCTCCACCAGTGAAGGAAACACCACAAGAACCATCTGACCTTGGCCAGGCAGCTTGTGCCCCAGGTGAGGATAAAACAGTGTCCGAAGCAAAGGCTGACTCGGTAAAGCTCGAATGTACTGAACCTTCTAAAATCTCTGCTGAGAAACAGGAGGCCCCACCTGTGCCTGAAGGATCCTGCCCTTTGGATCCAGAGAGTTTTGAAGGGATTAGTGCATTTAGCACTGGAGGCAGCAAAGTACAAAACTCTCCCCCTGCCAATAGGAAAACACTACCTCTTACAACGGCACCAGAGGCTGTGGAGGTGACTCCGCCTGACACTGGAGGACAAGAAGACCCTCCGGTCAAAGGCATTGCGGTGAGGCTGGAGTTCGATTATTCTGAAGAAAAAGGGGTGAGTGAAGACCAGCAGGAGAGTACTCCTCCTCCCAAAAAAGCAGGTAAAAAGCCTGGTGCTAAAATGCCACTACGGAGGCCAAAGACTAAAAAGTCAGTGGAGAAGCTTGACAATGCTCCAACCACACCAACCAAGTCACCCACGGATCCAAATGAAATCCCTATCACAAAAGGCTCTTACACTTTTGATATTGACAAGTGGGATGATCCCAATTTTAACCCCTTCTCCTCTAGTACAAAAATGCAAGAATCACCCAAACTGCCTCAACAAACGTACAGTTTTGAGCCAGACATGTGTGAGGACTCTATTGACCCTTTCAAGTCTTCTTCTAAGATAGCCAGCTCGCCCTCTAAATCTCCAGCTTCCTTTGAGATACCAGCCAGTGCCAATGAAACAAACGGAACTGAAGGAGACAACTCGAATAAACCTGCAAAAAAGAAGAAGACGCCACTAAAAACGTAAGTTTAAAGGGCACAGATATTTCTAAATTAGAAGAAGCACGTTCCTACCCCTTAGCGCAGTTAAACCTGGTTTATATCTGGATAGAGAAAGGACTGGTGCTGGGGGTCTGGATGTGTCCTCCCTCAACCTGTTTCCTCAATAGCTTGATGTTTCCAGACCGAAGGGGAGAATCAGGGCTAGATCAAGCCCGGTTTGGCCACCAGTCTGGCAATTAGATCTTTTGAAGTCTTGGGGCTCAGTGTAGCTTTGAATCTGATTAAGTCCCAGTTTAATCAATTTTGTGCCAAATTTTCTGTGACCTCATCTTTGGGAATTTGATACCGTTGAGGATGATCAAAGTGTTCACACCAGTAAAGACTATTTTATGAATCATAGTTTTTGAGAGTGGGATGTGAAATAGTAAGGCAATGACAAATCTCCTGTTGCACACAGCAAGAAGATGGTTTTATTCAGTGACTTATGGCATTCAAAAGAAAATAACCTGAAACAGAAGACTGCAGTATTGAAATAATTTTTTTTAAAATACAAGACTACAAAATGTGAAAAATTTCCTCTCTGTGAAAGAGCTTACAATTCTGCAGAAGGGTTTAAACTTCCCAGACAGCTACACGTTATGGAAATATCCAGCTTTTAGACACACTTGATAAATTGAGGGGTAAATTCTCTAACTTGTTGTATTTAGATATTTGGTTAAAAATCTCAATGGCTAGTTGCATTGATTCCATGGTTAACTTGCTGGTGTGCCTGTTACCTTATCTGTTCAGACATGAATATTTTGAGTTGGTAATCAGTAAGTTAATATCCCATTTATCTGAAACCGATATCCGGTGTGTATCCGTAAGAAAGTATCTCGGTGCATGTCCCTTTATGGTTTCAGTGTTTCAGCTGGCTAACAAAAATGTGACTAAAAGTCTGGCAATTTGAAGATAACAAGGTAAATGTAAAACAGTAGAGAAGATGACCTCCCTTATAGAGTGAGATGGAGATTATTCAGCTTTTTCTGAGCAGCCTGCTGCCCTCTAGGCTTCTTATTCAGGTCCCTTGCCACATCTGAGGAAGCTTGTGCCATTTTTTTCTTTTTAGGGGCATTTCTGATTTATGGAAAGTATAGACCACTGTATAGTTGAGTGTGTTTTTGAGGAAGGAGCCTAGTTTTTCTGCTGTTGTTTCTTTTTGAGGTACGCCTGAAATGCAGCTGAAATTAAGGTGGGAATTAAGATGCACGATAAGCTGAAATATTTTCCAAGCCTACAGTCCAAACGGGTTTGGTCCAAACCAAGAAGACTTAAAAGACTGGCTGCAAGAGAGGAACAAATTGAATCTTACTGGGAAAGTGCTGAGGGAGAGAGGGGAATTATAATATCACCAGATCCTTAAGATACTTGCAGCCGGCCGGTCTCCCTCTGTCTTCCAGTAGCTGCAGTGGAGCTGACAGACCCCTGGCATAAACCTGGGTCAGTCCACTCCGCTGCGAATATCAGAATGAATTCCAAAGTTGTTAATTTAGGGGCAACGTGAGGTTACAAACAGTTTGCTAAACCGCCTTTGTCCTTGGGAAAATTCATCACTGGAAGGCCCTGTCCCACAGTCGCAAAGTTCAGGGCTGGTCCTTATCATGGTGGAAGGAGTGGAACTACCCTAGAGGCAGGCTTACAGGTGCTTGGGTCAGGAGGCTGCAGGAATTCCCAGCCCTTGCTTGGGACTGCTTTCGCTGCCTTGTGTTACGTGTCTGCTCGCTGCAGCCCCGTAACCTACTTTTGCGAGTGGTTTCTAACAAAGAGGAGAATCTGCATATTAATACACAGCGCAGCCTGCAGCCATAATATTTCTGGAAGAAAATGAACCTCAGGCTTGTTGGGGGATGTCAGGGGAAACAGTGGTTTCATTTGTCTTTGCCTGTCTCCGTTCTCCATGGAAGGGCCCACGGCGTGGTTCCTCCGTGGGCTCCCGTGCAGGAGAAGCCCTGGCCGGGCAGGGAGATGGGGTGTAGGACCCTCCTTGGCAGTGCTCCCATGGTGGGACATGAGAGAGAAGCCAGGGCGAAATGCTTCAGCTCCAAGGGGCAGAAAGGAGGTTGCTTGTGTTAGGAAATGATACTGTCATATACCAGGACATCTAAAACCTAATTAATGGCCAGTTTTACAAAGCTGCGAGATTTTATTAGCACTGTTGAGGGGCGCAGAAATAAACCTCTGCGGACCAGTTAGAAAATGTGTTCCCCATATGGAAAGACAGTGATTTCTAGATTAGACCTATGGGAGGAGAAGAAACCAGGCATGAGTTTAAGCCATTGCTAAGCTGTACTACTTTGAATTTGTGCCATATGCTGGGTCTTACCTGTGTTAAATCAATAAAAAATAATCAGTTTTCATTCTCGAAACCTGCATCCGTCTAAGCAATGACCTCCAGGTGAAAAGATGAGATTTTTAGAAGAGATGCCAGCTCGACGCAAATTACTCTCTGGCCGTATACCTAAGTGCTGAGCTGTTTTGAGGTAGATCATATGGCTCAGATGATGCTGAACAAGGAGCAGCTGATGCATCCCGCATGCCTGCCTATAGTGATGAGTAAAAATAGGTGGCTTTTGCAGACATTGCTCTCAAAACTGTTGGATGTTTGGAGGCTGTGTTTAGAAACTCAAGGTGCCAGCTTTCGGGAGCATTGCACGTGAGAAGAGCCGAGCAGAATCTGTCAAGCATATGGGTAGATGAAACCTTTTCTTAGCCTTAATTGTTTGGCAAGGTTTTCTTCTGGTTTGGGGGCAGTCAGTTTGTTCTGTCAGAACACAAAGTTAGGTTTCAGTAAGAGCCAAGGTAGATGAGATTTAAAGAAAAGTCATTTTCTTTCTTGAGTTAGGTAAATGATTTGAAATGGTCAAGTAGCTTTTACTGTACTGTTATAACAAATCAGCAGATGTGAAGACACCTTGCATAACTGTGCTCTTTCCGTAAGTTTAACTGCCATTCAAGAACAGTTTTACATCCCATAAAATAACAATTACAGTGTTTTGAAAAGAGAGCAGGTGGCTACCATCAGGGAAGGCAAGGACGGTTAGTATGTTCAGAGGAACTTAACTTGGAGGCATCAGCTTTGAAAAATGTGTTTTGTAAGATGAAAGGGTGTTAAAAATGTAACACTGAATTTGAAAACATTGAAGGACTTGATGAATATTTTTTTTCTCTCCGCATCTATTTCACAATAAAAAGTAGTGGTTAAGATCATACAGGTAGAAAATATGCATGATCAGATTGCCTTAACACATTAACAGTATTTGTAGGTTTATCTTTTTTGTCAGTTCCTTCTGTCTGTCTCTCTTTTCTTTGTCTTATTTGTCTTAGGATGGTAGAAGATGTGATGTCTGTATGTTCTCTGTTGTAAGTAATTCTAAGCTAACAATTCGAGTTTCCTCTTTGATTTATGGGCTTTTTAATTTCACTTATTTATTTTGCAGCATGATCAGTTATGATTCAGCATGAAGCTTTTATGTTAACTATTTCACCTCACTGGCACGTATGAAAGCTATTTTAAGTAAGATGCCTGGCTGTGAATGAGTTTGAGGAATCTATTGCCTCATTATCTGTTTGCCTATCAAAGAAGATCCTCTTTTAAAAAATATATAGATTTTTTTTTTACCCTTGAGCTAAAATATGAAAATTGTATTTCTACCATTGTACAACAACACTGTACAATGTCATTTGTAAATACTGCATGCAGCCTTTCTCCTTCTTAAAGGAATAAATTATCCTAATTACTTCTGAAGCATAACGATAATTAGTAGCATCGAACACACCAATATTCAGCTGTCCAATTTATTTTCCCTTCTAGATGCGGTATTGATTTACCCTCTACCGATTGAAACCTACCATTACAATTTCTAGTGTTGATCTTGCCATCACCGATCAGGGATGAGCTGGCGGGCAGTAATTTTTGCCACTGCATCTCAGTTCAAACTTTCAGTCCTTATCAGTGGGTTTGCTGGGATAATTTTTCTTCCTCCCCTAGAACATAAATTGTGCTTGAATAACTCTGGCAATGTGCATTGAGAGAACAAGTAGATAATTGGTTTGTTTCCTTGTTTAGAAAATGTTTTTAACGAGTTGTGAATAAACATAAAGGCAACATTCATAATTATACACCAAGACATAACGTATGTTCCTCATTCCTTTTGCCTGACTGAAACCTGTGGGATTTGAAGGGCTACAGTGTCAGCGTGCACTGTGAGCTGTCAGGGGAACTGGAAGCAGAATTGCCATATTTGTTGTATATGTTTTTAAAGAGGTTCCACTGTGCACGTTTGTAATGATAGAGCTTTGTTCTGGCATATTGGGAACAGCATCTGCCTCAGCTGTTTTTCCATAGATCAATGAAAGCATACCAGTTTTTTTTCTCAATGATTTACAGGATCATTGGAGCTTACTGCCCAAGTTTTAATTCTCAGGTAAAGATGTGGCTTAGTCCGAATTTTCAAATGGGAAACTGAAGCAGACAGAAGCTAAACAATTTGCTTGAGGCCACTGAGGATGTCTGGGGTGGAGCAGGGATTGGAAATGCAATTGAGCACCAGCTCTGCTCTGTAAATGTGTCAGGAGTCAGCGTGAAAAATATGGCAATCCTGCTTTTCTCAGCTTTTGGGGAATTGAGGCCTGTTGCAAGTGCATGACAAGATTATGTACCTGTGGCATGTTCCTCTGTGGTGCTGCTGCCTAAGGGATGGGATTTTAAAGCAGAGGGCTTACAGAGGTTGCACTGTCTGTGGCTGTCTCTTACCTAGTGTGCAATGACCTATTTATTGCTGGTATTACCATATTAACTGTTTTAACTTTGTTTTCAGTGATACATTTAGGGTGAAAAAATCACCAAAAAGATCCCCACTATCTGATCCTCCTTCTCAGGTAAAGTACTGCCTTGTTTTGATGCATGTAATTTGTGTTCTAGTAGGGGCAAAAAAGGGAAATTTGCTTTATTTAATTGTAGAATTGTACATTTAATAATAGAAGAGGTTTTTATAACGAATATAAGCGTATTGGTGTCCAAATATAGCGCACTGGGCTATAATCATAAGATATTAACCTTCTGGTCTCTAGAAGCGTGTATACAACATGTATTAGATCTAGTGTTTGCTCTGGGAATTCCAGTTAGGAGTAAATGCACTCTCCTGGAAAGTCCTATCTTACAATAGAGCGACAATATGAATAAATATCTTCAATCAGTTGTCTGAAAAACTAGACGTAACTATCCACCCTGGAATTTTTAGATCAGAAAGTAAGACACTAAATGCATCAAATTGCTGGGATGGAAGGGAAGTAGAAATAAAACAAGTGGGCTGATCTACCAGGAACATGTGCTTGGATGGTTTTATTCCTTGTTGTAAACTGCCAGCAGGTGGTTTTCTTGGCAGAGAAGTTAACAAAAGCTGTTCTGCCTACAAAGGCCTCACTGCTTTGATGTGGCACAGCTCCTTCCATGCCGCCGTTCATCTTCCTGTTATCCATCCTACCCTTTTATTTGTGCTGCTTGGCAGCCTAGAAGCGAAGAAAAAAGGGTTCGTGACCTCGCAGACCTACGAAGGTTTGCTCCTATGAGGGAAACCTAAAAAGTCAGATTTGGTGGTCAAAGATTTCAGCCGTGGGTGATGTGTGCCATTTATGTCAAGTGCCTAACAGATTTAAGCGGCACGGGATTTTCTTTCTTCCTTGTTATCAAGGAGGCTTTGCAATGCGAGTGTTTATCATCAAAGAGTTTAGTTACACTGGGAAAACGTGCTGCTAGTAGAGTCCTAAGTGAACTACTTCAATATTTTTCATTAAGTATTTTATGCAGAGCTGCAGTAAAGAGTATGGAATTAAAAAAGATTACTCCGGTCATGAAAAGGAATTCAGAGAGTTAACTACTCAATGTGTTAATGAAAGATAATAGAATTAATTGGCACTTGTTTTCTGCAGGATCCCACTCCACTGCCTACTCCAGAAACACCTCCCGTCATATCCACGGTGGTTCATGCGACAGATGAGGAGAAACTGGCATCTTCAGTGACCAGTCAGAAATGGACCTGCATGACTGTGGACCTGAACACGGATAAGCAGGATTACCCGCAGCCGTCCGATCTGTCTACATTTGTTAATGAGACTAAGTTCAGCTCTCCTACAGAGGGTATGCTTTTAAAAGGACTGTCTGCATCCACCTAATGTTGTATTTATTGTGAGAGGGGTTTTACTTTGTTCCAGGATGTTGGCATTTGGTTGGTACTTTGCTGAATGCAAACCATATGATTTGGGAACCCTTAAAAATGATGCTCTTTGGACCAGTCTAGGGAACTCGGTGCTTAAGCTGAATGTAAGAGCCCAATAGTCCAACCTTGAGTTTTCAAGAAATAGTAAAGAGGAAGCTTAAAGTAAAATGAAAGGGGCCTTCAGAGGAAGGGTTTTGCTTCCTTTGTATGGTGATTGTAGACATGCTCTGTGCATGCTACCTGTTCTCTCTCTGCCTTCACGGGAGGCTGGGGTCTGATGCTGCTCGTGGTTAGTGCTCTTGGATCCAGAGGCACAGAACTACTGATTTTGCCTCTGCCTGTTCCTCTGACCTGAATGGGAGGAGGTCACAGGTTCAAATTCTGCTCAACGTTTGTGTATTGCATTGAGACCCTTAACATGGCATCTCTCCTCCAAGTTCCTAGGATCCAGGTATCTTTGTGTATAAAAATGTCCAAAATATCTCCTGCATAAGATGGTTATCATTCACATGCCAGATAAAATTCCATTCTAGATCAGTTTATTACATTTTTTTCCTGTAATACCTTCCTATAAGCAGTTGCGAGCTAAAGCTGAAAGTTTCTGTTATGAGAACTGTCATTCCAGGTCTGTGAAATGTGGGAGAGACAGAATTTAGAAAATTTGCATGTGGCCTTCCTTGGGGTTACCAGAGGGAATACTGCTTTGCAACATCTGCTCCAAGGGCAGATTTTCAGCTTTGTGGGTGGGAAGAATGTATGAGTTTAACTTGGCTTAAACGTTTTCTTCTTGATCAGAATTTTTTTTTTTTCCCTAACCTTTCAACCCATGTCCCAATCTACCATTAAAGCTACTTTATGCCATTTTACACTGGATCTGAGAAGTTTTTGCCTAATTTTTCTAATTATGAACTGCTAAGCTTTTAGGTCAAATGTGTTTGACATTTAAAAGGCACAAATAATCATAGTGGTTTTAATGGCGCTGCACATGTTCATATGGACGTGCTTATGAGTTTGCGTGGCCTGAGCTTTTTGGAAATCTGTTGAGTCTTCTGTACAGATAAGTATTTCAGTCTGGATAAACCCATTTAGCTTTGTTGTCAAATTGCAAATTTTAGACATCAGCTTCACTTCATTTGTATGTAAAAAAAAAATTAACTTAAAAGAAATACTTTTTAGAAAATAAGGGAAGGACGTGGAACAAAAGAATAGTGAGAGATACTCTGAGGCAATCATTTTAGCTATCAAAGTGGGTAGAAGAAAGTGAGCAAAGCTCCCAATTAAATGCTAATTGTCTTGTCTCATGTGTGCTGCATGGTATAGTCGGAGTTTCAGATTACATGATAATTATAATCAACAGTGCTTCCGCTTTTCAGATCTCTCAAAAATAATAATTTTTTTCCCCCTTAACAGTCTTGTTCCTGTGGGATTGAGAAATTTTTGAGTAATTTTTTTCTCAGCGCGAATATTTTTACCCCTCTCAGATACTAGTATGAGTGCTATCCTGTAACCTAACACGGCTTTTGTACAGATACAGCCCAACTACTGAGTCAGCCAATACATCCAGCTCTCATCTGTTGCATGCGCTGCTTATAACTGCTGCCATTTTCGTGTTGCACAGACCAGAAATAAGCCGTAATTATTAGCAGAAAATTCTGATGTTATCTTGCAGCTATTTGTAGGAGGAGTTGGAGGACATCACTTAGTAAGTCTGTTGTATGTATTTATAAAAGATAATTATCTTACTTCGTGGGATATCCTGGGCATTTGTAATTTTGAATGTATAGAGATAACCGGAGCCTAAGATTTTGGAGGGGAGATGATGTCTTAGAGGAGATACCTGCGAGAGGAGGTAGAGTCTAATTGTGCTGGAAATGTCTGAGAGCAATGAGACAAAACAAACTGTGTTTAGCGAACCATGTTATTCCTTTTGTTTCTAGCTGAAGTATTTCCATCTGTCTCTCCTGCCTTTTTTTTTTTTTTTTTAATCAGTAAAGTTAAGTATGCGTTGTCCCCAGTTTGCATTGGAACTGCAAAGCTGCAGCCAGCCCCGCAGGCAGGTGGAAGCTCGCTGCCGGCTGTGCCAGCAGAGGACAGTGCCAGCACATCCCCTGCCCGACCCGTGAGGATCCCTTCGTGCTCACTCACGGATTGCTCTCTGGGGTCGTACAGCTGCCCCACAAACCTTTGTGGTGCACTTTGTTGCGCAGTGTGAAGACAAACGAAATGCAGAAAGGCAGTTACTAAACACTGGATGCTGTTAGTTGCTGTTTGATGCTTTCTCCTACAATTCTGCGTCTAGTAGGTGGTTTGAATCTCATCCTTTGGGTTTTGGTTTTGCTTTCAGTAGGAGGAAGCTTGTATCTGATACCAGGACGTTGTCCATCTTGCCTGGCTCCCTATTACTAACAAACACATGATGCTAGGAATTTAAACGTGAGGAGCCTGCTAGGCGTTTTACTATTAATACCTCCCACATGTCAGGTACTGAGAGTATGTTTCTGTTCCTCTTCAGTGCTTGTTTGACAAAATACATAGACTTGTGGAATTGCAGTGCTTGTACTCTATGGTGCCTTTTATTAGACAAAAATTTCAAGCATTGTAAACTCACACTGCACCCTCTGAAACTTTTTTTTTTTTTAACAAAACAGGTAAGAGATTGTCATAGGGTGGGTTTGTTTTTAAAGAACAAACGTTTCAATGATGGTTACCATCTTTCTGATACAAGCCCTGCTTTTTAAAAGCTGTGCAAATCATAGCACATACTTCTATCATAATGTAAATGCTAGCGTGCCCTTTATTAGAATTTATCTGTAAAGGAAATTAAATTATACAAGTGGTTTATTGAATTAATTTGTGGAAACAGTAAAATACAGCATTGGGACAAATTAATTACGTTTTTAATTTTTAAATTAAGATGTAATTGGACAAAGTTTTTGCTTTTATTTGGGAGCAGGAAGGTATGCTCTCTTTTCCATTTGGCTGTATTTTATCTGTCTGCCTCTATATCAGCTACTGAGTGACCACGGATTGGAAAGAAATGCTGGTTATTCCCTCCAGTGTAATTAGGAGATTAGAAGTAGAGAAGCAGTAAAGATTTGCATTTTTATCAGGGTTTAGATTTAGGGTTCTTTATGAATCTTCCTGCCTTAGGCTTTTTCTCTGAAACTAAAATTTGGAAACAGCCCAGTAAGCTGGACTGTTTTCTTACCTGTTATTCAATGAGCATACGAGTATTTTATGTATCTTTTTATGTTAAGTGATACCACACTAATCCTTCTTAATTAAGAATTTTGTGATAAACATTAAGAAATAAAAATTATTTCATTTCTCAACAGCTTTTAAAATATTTTAGCATACATTAAAGGAAACTGATATCGACATTACCAGTTATTGAAAAATGTGTTTTCTGTGATAACATGATAGAGGAGAGTTATCTGAACTCTGAAAGCACTCTGAAATTTCTTAATATTCTGGCCTCTGGGGAAGAATCTTCAGCAGATTAGCAAAGCTGAAATTTTTCAGGCAAATTAATTTGCCTGAAATGTGTCATAGGTTCACTGTTGAAAATCAGTGCAAATCAGTGCACCTTCTGCTTTCTCTCTGTATATTCTATTTTTAATACCTCATAGAAAAGCATTAAGCAGAATGGGAATGGCCCTTGTGAATGAGAACAGATCTCATTTACTTCTGCAAAAATCATTTTGTGGCATGTATTTAATGGCTCTTTTTTTGTTGTTGTTTCTGTTGCAGAATTGGAATATGGCAACTCATATGAAATAGAATATATGGAGAAAATAGGCTCTTCTGTGCCTGTAAGTCCTCACTTTCATTTCCATTCATTTGCATTCCCTTGTCATAATATACTACCTTGATAATGCCATCAGCCTCCCTACCCCTTAAATTAATTATAATGTGCCTGCAGCAGATTTGCAAAACCAGTTCCTTTAAATTGGCGTAACTGGGGTAAATTGCATGTGCTTTGTTGTCCTGTATCCTGTAGAGCTTGTTCCATTTTACTACTTTATTTTTAAGCTAGCATCATAGTGGTTCTTTCTGGAGATTAAAAGCAAATCAGTATTTCCAGCAGTGTAGAGTACAGAGCTGTCTACACCAGCTCTTGAACTATTTTAAGAAACTGAGAGTAAAGCTTTGAAGAAGATGGAGGGGATCAGGAGAGAATGCAGAATGAATGTGAAATATGGAATGCAGTACTTTACGTTATCGGTTGTTTTGCCTTACTTCTATTTAATTCGTGATAGCTTGACTAGATCCAGTGGGGGTATATCCACAAGGGAAGTTAGAAAAATCAAGCATGTATGTCAAGTGCTTAAACTGATGAGAAGTTTCAATGAATATTTTAGTAACACTTGCAGTCAAGGGATGCCTCCTGCCTGACAGGACCAGAAATCTGATTAACCCCAAAGTTATAGAAGAAGAGCCATTACAAAGAGTGAACTGTTTAGGTTTTGTTCTTTAATGGTTTCTTCCTTAAAGGAATCTTCTCAGTACCAGTTAGCATATATATTACATCCCATATTATTAGTTTTCTGTCAAGTAATTTGGTCACTTAAGGCTTCAGTGACCTGAATTAGCTTTAATGGAGAATGGTTGAGTTACTTAATGAGTCTTTCTTTTCCTGTTGCCAGCAGGATGATAGCACCCCGAAGAAACAATCTTTATATCTAATGTTTGATGCACAGCAGGAAAGCCCAGTCAAATCACCTCCCATCAGACTGTCTGATTCCACAACACCATGCTCCGGGTATGTCACTGCCAGTAAATTCAGCAATGGAAAAGGATGTCGGGGAAATGGGTCACCGTCATAGCATGTACACAGGCAACTCTTCCTCTCTCTGCCTCTGTGTTGCCGAATTGTTTGTTTAAAAATAGATTCCCATCTGTGTACACATATTGATAGAGAATAAAGGACAAAGATACAGAAGTTTTCTGAAGGGAGGGAATAAGGGCATTTATTTCTCCTTCATATTCTTACTAGAGTCAGTGTGGCAACTGTTTCACTAGACAATGGCTTTCTACTTGCAGGGTTTTTTTTTCCTCAGATATTGAGGTTATTTTCATGTCAATCTGGGAATCTAATTGCAACTTTTCACTTGGCCTTTCCCAGATATATTTTCTGAACAAGGAATCTAGTTCATAAGAACAGGATGTGGGGGTTGTAATTTACTTCCAAAAATTTTGCTTGTTAAGGACATCTGTTCTTGTTAGTAAAAGTTGATTGCTGGGAGAGATGTAGGTCACAATGAGAAAGGGGTAAAAAGGCAAGTGAGAAATATTTAAGGAATGTGCCTAACATTTCTGATAGAAGTGGCTTTGTGTAGATGGCTCCAGTGCAGTGCTTTGAAAGGATATTGCAAAGTGTTATGAGTTATAATGATATAAAGTTGAGCTGAAACAATGTGTGAGTGTGTGTGTGTGTGTATATATATATATGTATATATATATACACACACTCCCATGAAAATAATGAAGAGGACTTGCTTAGTTGTTACCAGAAGCAGAGTTGTAAGGGCCTCGCACTCACCCTGAAAACATGTACACATTCTTTTCCTAGGTCAAGTTTTGAAGACCCTGAAGCCCAGCAAACCTCTGGAATTAAAATACAACACCCAGCTTCCCGAGTCCTAGCTGCCAGCCAAGAGGCACACTTACAGTCATCTGAGAAGTCAAAGCAGAAGGACCTAGAGCCCATGACCCTGGGAACAACTCCAGAGGCTATTGAAATAGTAAGTAATTTATGATAAGAGTTTGGGAATAATTTTCCCACAGAAATTTCTCATTTCATGTAAGAGGTAGCAAAGGTGGATCTCAAAAGTAGAGTGAAACTCAACCTGATACTTAAAGATGCGGTAGGACCCAAATGAGGGAGGTAGGATGATGCAACTGATAGAATTCAGAATCATTTTCTGAATCCTTACCATAGCTCACTGTGTTCCTGTAATAACTTATGCCAAGTTGACGCTTTGAAGTGATTTTTTTCTCACACAGGCCTTCTTACAGTGTGTTTTAACGCAATATTTGAAGAAATATTTTATATATAAAATCAGGGGTTTGATACAGACAGAGACATGATTTGTTCTGTTGCACGTACTGTGAAATTTCAAAATTTTGTTGATAAAAATTCTTGTGTAAACTGTTCACTGCATTGTTGTCATCTGATACTAATAATGTAAAATTCACTTTTTTGATCGTTAGAACTCATTCCAGCTTCTAGTTAAATCACTTCTTTTCATGGCTTCTCTGGATTGGATTTGAATTAGTAGTCAGCCTTTCCTTGCTTCCAACCTGTGCTGCATACAGACTTCAGAGCATTGGTTCTCAAATTCATGAAGGTTTCCTCAAGGCCTCCACTTTTCCAGGCAAACTAGTTTCACAAATGCCTACAGCACTAGGCATGCTAAGCTGTATGACAATATATTTACTGAGGAGTCAAAACAAGAAGCAGCTCACTTTAATGCTATGCCTAATTTGTGTTAATGATGCTGTTGATACCATCTCGCAAAACATTTTATTTTTTTTTTAATGAGCTTGAATACTTCTCTCATTGCAGGGACTTCTGGGTATTCAAATTCCAGTGATCTTGGTTTTGTCATTCCGATTTTGTCCACCTCCATATTGTGTGTTTATCCTGATCATAATTGTGAACGTAACATAGTTCATCCCCAGTAAGCAGCTAAAAGACTTTGCAAAGACTGCAAAAAAAGTCTCACTGAGGTTCCCCCCCCTCAGTTTGGTGGTCTTCAAAGCTTTTGGACTGCCTTAGAGATGCCTCAACTGAACATAAGCTATGGTATGAACAAAACCTACGAAAACTATTGTAGAAATATCAAGAGTGGGCTGTGGTTCATGGTTTGAGAGCCATTGCTTTAGAGGTGCTAAAATTACTTACTTCGTGTTAGTCTTGGAAAATTTACTCAGCTTTTAAATTAGGAAAATTGTTCTTGGTATTTATCGTTACACCTATGAATCGTGTATTCAAAAGTAATCTTCAATGGGGAATGAGATTACTAGGAATCAAAGATACGCAGACACAAATGTTGCTTTTGGCCTGAACTACTTGGGCTAAGTACTCTGTTGCTTATTCTGTATCCTCCTTACCCTTCAGACATCTCCTGAAGACTCCTTTGTCTCTGCTGATGCTCTTCTTAATAGGATATCTAAGAAAACCTCAATATGTGATCAGCCTGAATATCTAGATCCTGACTTAGCAGAAAAGAACCCCCCAGTATTTGCTCAGAAACTTCAGGTTCGTAGCAGAAATATGAATGTCACTTTTCTTTAAGTCTGTCTATACAGAGGTAGAGGAATGCTTTGCCTCATCTGAAAAGGGTGGGGGGAGACTTGGAGGGGAGGTGGGAAAGAAGCAAAAAAAAAAAGATTTAATTCTTTCCAAATAAAGAACGTTTTCCATTTGGCCTTTCAGGAACTTAATGAACAGAGTTATTTTAATTTCATTCATGTAATACATAAACTTAAATTTCACCAGCACTTTCAGCTATCCTTACAGCTATAGCACTGATGTATATATTTTGCAGAAGTCTTTGTAAAGCAAATCTTTTAAGCTTGAACACGGGACTTGATGTGTGGAGAGCTGTCTTGACACCTGGCCTTAGTAGGTCTATATGCATAGATTCATTTCGAGAGATCTCAGCCCTAATTCTGCTGAAATGAAAGTTAGGCTTTGTTTTTCTAGTAATCTACCTAATGCAGAATTTGGCATGGCTTCTTCTAGGAAAAGCATATTGATCTGCAGACCAGTTCTGTATGTCAGGACATAATTTCTAGAATATTTATAGTGACATTTTAAAACAGTAAATGTTGAATTGAGAGCGGCAGCTGGCATACATTCACATAAAATAAAAATGAGAGAATTCTGTTAAAAGCAGCTTTAGGTTTAGAAAACATTTATTATACCCAAAGCATTGTTCATGCTTAACCCCTAATAAAAATTGTTTGTCTTTGCAGCTACCTCAAAACTAAAACTGGAGTTTTGTATCAGTTCTAGTCGTGAAAGGCATATGTGATGTGTTTGTCACCCAGGAGTTGTCAGAATGATACATTAAAAGATAATATTCCATTTTTGAATGTGTTAAACATTTCTGCTGTGTTCCTAATACATTTTTTTCTGTGGATTGCTCACCACAACCAAACACTTGACAGGAGGAGTTAGAGTTTGCTGCAATGAGGATAGAAGCACTGAAGTTAGCCAGGCAGATTACCCTGTCTTCTTTCCGCTCCGAGGTATCTGGTTTGTGCCTGCCATGTGTGTGTGAGTCTGCACAGACTAAGAAACTGAGTGATGCTTTTTCTTTAACAAGGTAACTAAGGCTCTCAGAGTGCAGTGCTGAGTTGTGCGCACCTCAGTGTGACACCAAAGAGCATGCTGGAAGCAGTGCTGCACACAGAAATGCTGTCACCTGCTCCACTCACAGAGTACTGCTGCAGCCAAATTAACAAAAGGCAAATTCAAAGCCAAGAAGCTGGCACGTGCGTGTCGCAGGAGACAGGTTCTGCAGTCCAGGTGGCCATCAGTCTTTAACAGTAAGTTGTTCTCGGGGTACCCAGCCCCCTGGCCTGGGAGACCGGGATGTGGAGCAGAATGAAGCCCCCATAACCCAAGGGGAAATGGTTAGTGACCTGCTACACCACTTAGACACACACGAGTCCATGGGGCTGGATGGGATCCACCCAGGGGTACTGAGGGAGCTGGTGGAGGTGCTCACTGAGACGCTTTCCATCATCTATCAGCAGTCCTGGCTAACCGGGGAGGTCCCAGTTGGCTGGAAGTTTGCAAATGTGGTGCCCATCTACAGGAAGGGTTGGAAGGGGGATCCAGGGAACTACAGGCCTGTCAGCATGATCTCAATGCTGGGGAAGGCTGTGGAGCAGATCATCTTGAGTGCCATCACGCAGCTTGTGCAACCAGGTGATCAGGCCCAGTCAACATGGGTTTATGAAAGGCAGGTCCTGCCTGACTAACCTGATCTCCTTCTATCCCGCTTAGTGGATGGGGGAAGGGCTGTGGATGTTGTTTACCTGGACGTAGGTTTGTCACCATTTCCCACAGCATTTGCCTGGAGAAACTGGCTGCTCATGGCTTGGACTAATGTACTCTTCACTGGGTAAAAAACTGGCTGGATGGCCAAGCCCAAAGAGTTGTGGTGAATGGGGTGAAATTCAGTTGGTGGCCGGTCACAAGTGGTGTTCCCCAGGGCTCAGTATTTGGGTCAGTTCTGTTGAATATCTTTATCAGATCTGGACAAGGAGATCGAGTGCACCTTCAGTAAGTTTGCAGATGACACCAAGCTGGGCGGGAGTGTTGCTCTGCTGGAGTGTGGGAAGGGGGACTGGACAGGCTGTATCAATGGGCTGAGGCCAACTGTACAAGGTTCAACAAGCTGAGTGCCAGGTCCTGAATTTAGGTCACAACACCACCCTGCGGTGCTACAGGCTTGGGGAAGAGCAGCTGGAAAGCTGCCAGATGGAAAAGGACCTGGGGGTGTTGGTCCACGGCAGCTGAACATGAGCCAGCAGTGTGCCCAGGTGGCCAAGAAGGCCAATGGCATCCTGGCGTGTATCAGCAATAGCGTGGCCAGCAGGACTAGGGCAGTGGTTGTCCTCCTGTACTCAGCACTGGTGAGGCCACACCTTGAACACTGGGTTCAGTTTTGGGCCCCTCACTGCAAGAAAGACACTGAGGTGCTGGAGCGTGTCCAGAGAAGGACAACGAAGATGGTGGAGGGTCTGGAGCACAAGTCTTACGAGGAAGGTCTCTCAGGGGAGACCTTAGTGCTCTCTTCAACTGCCTGAAAGAAGAGTACAGAGAGGTGGGTGTTGGTTTGTTCTCCCAAGTAACACGTGATAGGAAATGGCCTCAAGTTGTGCCAGGGGAGGTTTAGATTGGATATTAGGAAAAATTTCTTCACCAAAAGGGCTGTCAAGCATTGGAACAGGCTGCCCCAGAAAGTGGTGGATTCACCATCCCTGGAGGTATTTAAAAGGTGTGTAGATGTGGTGCTTAGGGACATGGTTTAGTGGTGGTCTTGGCAGTGCTAGGTTAGTGGTTGGACTCGATCTTAAAGGTCTTTTCCAACCTAAATAATTCTATGATTCTGTGGTTCTATGATTTGTCATATGTCCACAGCAAGATTTGTCCTAAAATGTTTGATGGCAAACCAATACCAAACCTGCTTCTTATAAAGATGGTCTCGATTTTGACTGCAGAGACATTTTGCCTTTTGTTGGTATTTTCAGCTTGAAATCACACACCTTGACTCTCAGAGTTTAGAAGGATATTCTGTCAATCCTGCCTACAGGAGGTTTGAAAGGGATATAGATCTCCCAAAGAAAAAAGGCTTCCCAATACTATGTGTCTTTATTAATGAAGATCTAAACCTTTTTTTTTATTGCTAGTTCCAGGTTGCGTTGCCTGGTTCTGCCTCAGAGTGATGCTGCACTGCTCTAGGGATGCACGTGATCTTCACTGTGTTTGGAACAGGTGGAAAAGCTTGCTGTGATGCACTGAGTTTGGTGGTTAGCCAGTTGCACAGCCACTTTATGATGCCCTTCGTGGTACTTTTAACAAAAAAGTCAAGCCAGAAATGTTAATGGCTTTCTTGGGAGGTGGAATCAGTGAATGAGTTGCTGATGGGATGGCAGTGTCCTGCTGCAGTGGGACATTTTATTCCAAATGAGGAGAATGTGCTTCTGGCAAGTCCTTCTCCAGTGACCTTTCTTTTCTTATACTGTCCGTTAATAAGTCAGTGGGAAGTCTTTTGTCTGATGTATAATCCTGAGTTCATTACATTATAACAACATTTGTGCTGGGTATAGCGGAGAATTTCTTGGTGTTTTAAAGATCAGTCATTAGGTAGCTAGTTCATAAAAGTAAATAATTTTTTTTAGATTAACTGTACTTTTATGAAAAAAAAAAAAGGTATTTGATTTATTTCTTACCTTAAATAGCCCACAAGCTAACTGTTTCTATGGTGCACATATGCTTAC